TTGCGGGTATTTGGGATTTTGAACAGAAGCATATGCCATGCGTGTGGCATTTGGCGTTATTGTACTGCATTTGAAGGAAGTTTCATCTATTGCGCTCAGAGCCAAAAAAATACCTGGCGCCCAACGATTTGTTTGATTTCAAGTTCATATTTCAGGTCTATCAAATGGAAGACTATGCGCGCGTATAATCAGAGCGCCCAAGAACCTAGCCCAGAGAGTAAATGCAAAGTAAAAACCAGTGTGTATTTATTGGAGAGAATTGAGAAATAGCATCAAAATAGACGAAGCATTGGCCACGCCTCTATCTAAGCAGAAACCGGAACCTTGATGCAACGCAATGCCCGAAAGTAGAGAAGAGATGTGAAAGAAGTCATGCCCCAAAATGTAAGACACCAAAATAACATTTAAAAAAATGAAAAGGTATGAGTGCTGTGCTGAGAACCAAAAACCAGGAGTATATCATTTAACCGTCTATCCAAAAACCTTGAGGAATCCCCATAGCCCAATTCCACTTAGGACAGGGATCGTCAGGTTATCATCCCAGCTCCACATGTCAATGAACTCACTGCCGGCAGCGACAACGCCAGAAACGACGCTCATAACGCCCAAAGCCAGAGGCCCGGTGATGACTGCCGAGTCACTAGCTTCCCAGCCCAGAAGACCGCGAACAGAATTCGGGAGCAAGTTCAAGCGTCCAGTGAACATAAAGGCACCTTCAGGGTCGTTAGGGAAAGTACCGATGTAAGGCACGAACCACCCCCAGAAAGCAGCAGCAGTAGCAACACCAACAGCCCAAGCGGCCATAGTGCCAGCCAAGCTCTTACCCTTCCGGAGACGAGGGGTATAGCCGCCGTAAAGACGGCCGAATGTTGAAGCGGCGGTATCACACCAGCTAAGTAGTAACACTCCCATGACTCCGACGTCCTTGGGAAAGAAGCGCAGCACAACATACGCTCCGAGGAGGTACCAGATGACGCCGTTATAGCCCGAAACTTCGGTTTCGCGCATGAGGGCACCCATGCATCGAACATAGAGTTTGTTAACCTTCTCCGAACGATGGCGGATAAAGTCCGTTGCTGCGATGGGCACCAAAGCGGAGAAGAGCACCGGGGTGATTTGTAACGTCTGCACGCCCCGACTGTACAGGTGCAAGGTCAGAAACCCGATGGATACGTGCAGGAGCTTGCGGGGAATTTCATGGCGGTGAATGAAAGAGCGGTAGCGCGAATGGAGCGGGATAAGTCCGAGAGGAGATGGGGACCGTGAGAGATCGCGTAGTGTATCCGGTATGCTTAACGGCGATAAGTGGCCGTTTGAAGTATCGCCGTTGGGCGAGCGCGGCGGCGAAGCTGGAATCTTGGGGTTTGACCGGCGCGCGGGCCTAGAGGGAGTTGTGGAGGATCTAGGTGTCCGCTCTGAGCCTGATGCTTGCCCTGTGACTCCGGACTGACGCTGCCGGCGTGCAGCAGACCGTGTTGTCGGTGCGAAATATTCATCGTGTGTCTCCGACGGGTCCGAAAGAGAGGGTGTCGGAGAGATCACGCGAGGTGTTGCGGGTACCGCATCTGGGGAGGTGGGCATCTCAGATGCTCTCAAGGTGAACGAAGGAAGCGATGCGACTGGGATTATGCCGGATAGTGGCCGCGTACAGATATCTGCACTGTCGCAGGCAAATAAGCCAAATGGTATAAGTGGGCCTGCGAACGAAGCAATGATGGGCGGTATGAGCACGACACGGTGCCTTATCGACAATGACAATTATAGGCGGAAAAGCTTGAAACAAAAGACAGCCCAGCGCATAATGTGAAAACAAAGGAAAGGCAAGTCGAGCGAAGCTGTAGAAAAGAAAGACAAAAGAAATATCCCCATTTCCGCCCAATGCCGCAGTCACGTGCATCATATCTAATCGATAACGGATTTTTTTCTTTGCGCCTCAGCAGTTCAAGACATTTTCAAGGATTCGGTGTTCTCACAAGATGCCCCCTAAGCCGTCTTCAAGAGCCTGGGATGGCCTTGAGCCATCTTTGTCCGACTGGACTCTCGACGCCGTGGGCTCAATGGGCTTCACGCGCATGACGCCAGTCCAGGCCTCGGCCATCCCTCTGTTTATGCAACACAAGGATGTTGTGGTAGAAGCTGTTACTGGAAGTGGAAAAACATTGTCTTTCTTGATCCCAATCGTTGAAAAGCTACTGCGCCTTGAGGAGCCCCTCAAAAAACATCATGTTGGAGCTATTATCATTTCTCCCACGAGGTAAGTACGGCGCATCTGCAATACAGAGCTTATCGCTAATGGCTTTCATTAGAGAATTGGCCTCGCAAATCTACCAAGTTCTTCTCTCGCTATTGGAATTCCACCCTGCCTCTGCTGCGGCCATCAAGCCTGCCGAGGGTGATGCGCCTCGTCCAAAGTCCTCCTCATCGACATTGAAGGTCGTCCCACAACTCCTCCTGGGCGGCAGTACCTCCCCAGCGGAAGATCTGAGTTCATTCCTCAAACAGTCACCCAATGTTTTGGTTTCTACACCCGGAAGACTGTTGGAGCTTCTTTCATCGCCTCACGTCCACTGCCCCCAGTCCTCTTTCGAAATGCTCGTCCTAGACGAGGCCGACAGACTTTTGGACCTTGGATTCAAGGAGGATTTGCAGAAGATTCTTCGTCGATTGCCTAAGCAGCGCAGGACGGGATTGTTCAGTGCCAGTATCAGCGAAGCTGTTGATCAGATAGTCCGTGTCGGTCTTCGCAACCCAGTAAAGATCGCTGTCAAGGTGAAGGGAGGCGCTGGTGCCGAGGATAAGCGTACTCCAGCAAGGTATGTTCTAGACCCGAACAACTCCAGATTCATTCTGACCCTCGGACAGTTTGCAAATGACCTACCTGACAACGCCTCCCCTTCACAAATATGCTATTCTGAAGCATATCCTTTCCACAGTCCAGCCCACACCCCAGAAGACAATTTTTTTCGTATCGACATGCTCAAGTGTGGATTATCTCGCCACCATACTACCAATAATTTTGGGAGATGAATTCCTCATGGTGCCGCTGCATGGGAAACATCAAGCCAACGTCCGTCAAAAGAACTTTAACCGCTTCACCACCGCTACAACCCCCGCCATCCTACTCACCACCGACGTTGCCTCCCGCGGACTGGATATCCCATCTGTCGATCTAGTGGTCCAGATTGACCCGCCATCCGACCCCAAAACTTTCATCCATAGATGTGGCCGAGCAGGCCGTGCCGGTCGCCGAGGCCTCAGCATTGTTCTCATCCACCCTGGCCGCGAGGAAGACTATGTTTCTTTCTTAGAAATCCGCAAAACCCCTGTCGCACCCTATAATCTGACCGAATTCACCGACGAAGAAGCGAGAGCCGCTACAGACAAAGTACGCAAAGCAGTTCTCAAAGATCGGGCCATGCACGACAAGGGCCAGAAAGCATTTGTCAGCTGGCTGCGCAGCTACAGCAAGCACCAAGCCAGCAGTATTTTCCGGGTAGCAGATCTAGACTGGGAAGCTCTCGGCAAGGCCTGGGGTCTTTTGAAGCTTCCCAAGATGCCCGAGTTGCGCGCATTCACCGGTGACAAAACCCTAGGTGTCAAGCTCGACTGGGACAACTACACATACAAAGACAAGCAACAAGAAAAGCGACGCAAAGAAGCCATGGCGGAGGCTGCTAATGGCGAAGGTGCCGAGCAAGGTACCAAGCGTCGGGCTACTGAGAGTGTGGCTTGGAGCCAGAAGACAGAGGAACGAGACAAGAAGGTCAAGAAGAAGGAGATCAAGAAAGCCCGCAAGGAGAAGGATAGATGGGAGCTCCTGCCCGAGCAGGAGAAGAAGAAGGTCGAAGAAACGCAGCGTATGTTGGAAGAGCTTCGTGCGAAGAACGAACAAGAGCGTCTTGCCAGACAAGCTGAGAAGGCCAATGAGAAGGCCAATGAGGCCAATGGCAAAAAGCATGATGATGAATTCAAGGGCTTTGATTAGGTTAACTACTTGGCCTTGGTCTTTGTATAGACTAGTTATAGCGTGAAGTAAATATCCTGCTTAATTTCTCCACACTTGCTACTTAGCAATGGAGACGATTCTCTACATGTATACGGCGCATATCCGGCGATGAACGTACGAAAGTTCATCGGCATATTAGAGCAACTCCCAACCGGTAATAGAACCAAATCGTCCATCCCGCTTTGGCCTTGAGCTCGACGTAACACCTATATGCCGCAAACTTGAGCTGCGTAACACATCCAATTCACAAGGTAACCAGTAATGATAATCAATTGGTCTATACGACTTCCCTTAACTATTTCCCCGTATTTTGAACAGGTTAGAGCAGTTCCTATGGCTATACTGTTAGGACCTCTACGTGACTGAGGGTGTTGACTCGGCCTAAGGCAGGATGGATGCCTTAGAATATATGGCGAATAGATATTCTGGGCCCGAATAGGCTAGTTATTGTATTTAAACCCCCCTCGCTGGTCCGTCCTACTTTTAGTCTCTTTATATAATACACTCCTATTATAGTTACTACACACGTAACTATGCTATCTACCTCGCTTACCTACCTAAACCTAGAGACTGCTGCGTGGTATACGCGATGCCGATAACGCTTCCTACAGCTCACTAGTTCCGCGGATCCTGAAAACTCGAAAGGTGAAAAGATTCCTAAACACACTAGGCAAAATTCTCGAGCCGGTACTGGCCCGACGACTGTCTTATATCGCCGAAAACCACGGATTGCTACCGGACACTCAATTCGGATTCGGACGGTATTAAAAAAATGATGGACACAGTGCCCATTCTTCGATACAGGCCTCAAACAAAAACTGTGAATCCTGCCAAAAATACGCTCGAATATTAACCTGATGCGTATTCTGGACCAATCGCTTCTTCATGTCGATAAAATGCTGCCCTAAGCGCCTAATATAACCAAAAACTGATCATAAGGGGTATTTTGTTCATTGAAGGAACCGAGTAAGTGGGAGCAATAAGTAAAATCTAGCTAATGATCACTTCCATGATCTGTGATAGTCAGGGGATTTCCATCGTTCGCAAGTATCTGTTCCAAATCATATCCGATCGCTAGGCCGTTACCCTGCTCCTCCGCCTCGCGAAACCCTGGCGCATAGTCATCCACTAGATCGACTTCACCCCCTCGGTAGATTTCCACGAGCGGCCGTCACATATCGACTCTAAGCACCGATTAATATATACTATCTCGTAACCAAGAATGGACAGACTCACGGCTCATCCCCCAAGATCTCTCTTGGATCTGCATCTTCATCGCGGTCTTGGTATATTACCTGTGACTCGATGTAATTCAGCGCCTGCTCTATTGGGACCTGATTTCCCGGACCGATTTCACAATAAAAGTGGGCGAATTCCTCCATCATCATTTGAGCCCGGTAGGCTTTCTTGTAGATACCGTTCGTTGCGAATTCAACCCAAATCCCCAGTCCGGTCTCAAGGGTCCGGTCATCGATAATGAGCTTGGCATAGCAGTCCCTGAAAAGCACCGTTCCATCGAGCGCCATGTGCATATCAAGGAAGTTGGGTCGGGCGACACTTTGATGGAACTTGAATGTCTCAAGAATATCCCTTCATTATCTTCCAAGGGGAGAAACAATATCATTTCGTCTGCTAGAAATTCCAAGCCTTCTTCCCATGGGAATAAACCCAAGACACACTTGGCTAGCAGGGCTTCTTTCTCGCGGGTCAATTCGGTGGTGCAGAAGTAGACCATGCAGAAATTTTGATCGTCATTTCCTGTAAAATTTTTGTCCTATACCTGGATTAGAATCGCAAGTCAAATAGTAGAAGATATTTCATACTGTAAGTTCGGGACCTTCAAAAAACTAGGCTCGTCCTCTGGTGCTCGGGATTGATAGCTCTGTCTTGGCGTCAATGGAGAAATAAGAATTCTTCCAAATTAAAGACATACATCGTGAAATTGTTGGTCTGCTGTTGCCCACCGTTCGATCAAAGCTCGTTTCTGTTGATCCGCGGCGTCGCCGCCGACCCACTGGTCAACGAACAAAATGCCTCCATGCACGAGAGGCGGCATCAAAATTTTCCGGGGCCACGGGTTCTTCGTGTCGGCGAATGAAGGGGATGTCTCCAGGCCACTGGCTGTGCGATTTTATTAGGGACATGATCGAATGGTGGCAGTTCCGAGGGTTGAGAAGAAGTGAGGACCGCGAGGGGCAGGAGTGTATTTAATGGACGAGTTTGACACATGCCCGGCCCCAATTTGCACTAAGGCATCCAATCTATCTTTCCCGTACATACTCTTCTCAAACACATTAAACCTCTATTATTTCCTGCGATCTTGGGATCTTTACGGACTAACCTTTGATAGGGAAGAGTAAGTGGTCCCGAGCTCGGAGATACAGTGGATCTTTGACTTACAGGGGCGCTAACCATGTCGGGTCAAAGTGTTGGGGCTCCACAGGACGGTACCTTCCCCGGTGGAACTTGTACTCTACGGGAAGGATAACCGGCCTCAGGACTTTTCTATCTTGATCAACATGAAATCATAAGTCGTGCGGGGATGAAATGGGAGAAGCTATTTCTCCCTCCGACTGTGGGGCCCTACAATCTATGCCTACTGAGTCCGATCATTTGAACGCTATTGGATGGACTTGCATTGACTCTATAAAAGCCCCCGATGTCCAGGAACATGCAGCCCAACGGATTACAACCCGTGCCCCTATACTCGTTCCTAGCGAAATGGATATCTCCGAAGTACATGACCTAGAAGAGGACCGTGACCAGAAAGATGACGACGAGAAAGACAACCACGAGCTTGCAGTAAAGCGTACCCAAACAACAAACCACGATGGCGTGTTTGGAGAAATCACAGAAGAAGGGCCAAACTACCGCAATGTACTGATGAGACGCTCATACCCAGGAATCTCTGCGTGTCAAACTGACCTTTTTTCAGGTGGGTTTTATTGGAACCGCTGTTCTGATGGCGAAGTCACAAATTGGACTGGGAATTCTTTCGATCCCATCCGCATTCAATGCCCTGGGTATGGTCCCGGGGGTCATCTGTCTTCTTGTCATTTCCGGTATAACAACGTGGTCCGGCTACGTGATTGGCACCTTCAAGCTGAACCACCGTGAAGTATATGGGATTGATGATGCGGCAGGTTTGATTGCTGGTCCAATTGCTCGGTGGTTCTTAGGGGCTGTATTCTGTGTTTGTATGTATTCTTCAAAGCTACCCAATGTACCACACTGACCTAGCAGACTGGATCTTCGTCAGCGCATCCGGCATACTGGGACTGTCAATCGGCCTCAATGCAGTCTCTACACATGGCATATGCACTGCCGGGTTTGCGGCTATTGCCGCCATTCTTGGATTCAGTGGAAGCAGCATACGAACGCTTGGACACATCACTTGGCTAGCCTGGGTTGGACTTCCATGCATTTTGGTTGCAAGTATGCTTTCCCATATCAAAGTATCGACGACGTACTGATCTTTGCAGTTATGGTGGTCACAATCGCCGTCGGTGTCCAAGATCGCCCTGCAGCTGCGCCTAAGACTACCCTACCGTGGCATTCTGATTTCAAGCTTTTCGGCAGCCCATCTTTTGCAGAGGGTATCGCGGGTATATGCAATATTTTGTTTGCTTTCTCGGGCACACCGGGGTTTTTCGCTATTGTATCTGAAATGCGCAATCCTCGCCAGTACGCACAAGCCCTGCTCGTCTGTCAAGCCGGCGTGACCTCTATATACTTGGTCATTGCCTGTGTTGTCTACTACTACTGTGGTTCATATGTTGCCTCGCCAGCTCTTGGATCCGCTGGTGGGCTTGTGAAGAGTATTTCATATGGATTTGCCATTCCGGGGTTGATTGTTACTTCTACAATTGTGACCCATGTGAGCGAAACAGTAATCCAAGACCACCCCGAGAGATCTAACATCTTATAGATTCCAGCAAAGTACATTTTCGTCCGCCTCCTCCGCGGCTCCCGCCATCTGAACCGCAATACACCGACACACTGGATCTGCTGGTTGAGCTGCACTGGCGGCATTACCATCATTGCATACATTATCTCCAGCACAATACCTGGCTTTGACGCCCTGACTTCCCTGATTGGTGCACTTCTCGGAACAATTCTATGCTTCCAACCGTACGGTTGCATGTGGATATATGACAACTGGGCTAGAGGAAGACACAGCTCTAAAAGTTGGCTACCGATGGTCTGTTTTAGCATCTTTGTCATAGTGATAGGATCATTTCTGACTGTTGCTGGCACTTATGGAACTGTGCTCGGGGTTATAGTGGCTTCTGGAGAGTTGTCCCCTTTTACCTGTGCTGATAACTCGAATTCTACGTGAATCCAGTGGGAATGGGGATTCGATAGAGCTGTTATATGGATGTTCTTGTGAAAAAGAAAAGAAATAATTACTTCATTCAACTTAATTGCTTTGTGCTTCTTTAGACTCGATGCATCTGATATATACCGGACTCAAAGCTCCGACGAAGACAAGCAATTTATTTATCATCTACTTGCGAGCTGAGCAGGACTTGTATGTGATAAGACACCATATTGAGCGATTATACACGAGGCGGATTACCCCTACAAGATAGATACACTTGAACCCGATTTTACAATGTCGTATATCAACATGGTACAGTAAAAAGTCAGACAAATACACGGATCTTATGAGGGGTCTGCTTACCATACAAAGAGCCCAGAAGTTGACAGATTGCAGAGTCGGACCCCAATGCCAAATCAGGATAAAGCGTCCGCGACACCAAACAGCATGATGACATGCTGCGGAGAAAATGCGGGTTTGCGGGCAAAGAATTTATTGGCGAGGGTCGAAAGAACTTCAGGGGAAAGCGAAAACCCGAACTAGTAGTTTGTGCTGTCTAGGTTGAAACGGTAGACAGCCCGACCTTGTATAGATGCATCCCCGGAAGGGAAGCCGAGCTCCGTTGATCATTACCAAGGGTGGGGAAATGACACTGTACAAACCAGGAATATCTTGCAGGTAGATAGGCATTAATTCATTAGAAATATAAGAAACTACCTTTAACTTATGCATTACCCTGCTTGAATTACACTCCCACTAGATCTTGACGTTACCAACCTCAAGCGTAAGTGGACAACAGCGGCCATAATGCAATTCATGTACCTAAAGCAGTAATCAAAGTTTAGCCTTACTTTGCCTATTCCAAGTCTGAACCTCAGGTAAATCCCGATAGTTCGACGGAAAGAACTGAGGCCCCAATATCTTCTTCTGTACCTTTCCCGTCCCCGACTTGGGAAGTTCACCCCGAACAACGCGAAGAATAGTCGGCAGCTTATACCCAGCTATTTTACTCCGTAGGTCATCACGAAGCTCCGCAAGTGTCAAGTCCTTGCGAGTTGCGTTGCGATCTTGCTTAAGACTGACAGTGGCAGCAACGCGTTGACCAAATTCATCGTCTTCAACACCCACGACCATGACTTCCGAAACATAATCCAGACCCAAGATCTCGCGCTCGATATCCAATGCGGATATTTTATAGCCTCCAGATTTGATGATATCGATTGATGCACGACCGAGGATGAAATAATACTTGCCTTCGCGGCGGGCAATGTCTCCCGATTTGAAGTACCCATCTGCATCATGGGCATCCGCAGTTGCTTTCTCGTCAAACAGATATCTATTCGCAGTGTTGTCAGAAACAAGACAGAGACAAAAATAGAGTATCAAACTTACTTGGAGAACATATAAGGACACTTGACCAAAACATGACCATCATCGGCCAGCTTCAACGAAACAGCCTCAGCAACACGCCCAACACTATTCTGCGGAACACCCTCAGAATCAAGATCAGTCTTAATAACCGCTCCAAATTCAGTAGCACCATATCGAGTCAGGATCGGCTTATCCCTAATCCGATTCCAGAAATCCTGAACAGGCCCCGGAAGAGCAGAAGTGCCACACAGCATAGCCCTAATACCACGCGCACCAGTAATATACTGATCCCGAATCTCTGGAGGCTGATGCGCAATATTCTCTTCATAATATCGCATCATCCGCATATAAATAGTCGGAACACCAGAAAAGAACGAAAGACCGCCCTGACGCCAGCGTTCCCACGTCCAAGCCGTATCGAAATTCCCACTGCGGAACTCGATGCATGCCCCAGCCGTCAGGAATGGAAGAAATGTCAAACCGACACCTGAAGCGTGATGCACGGGGAGGACGTGGAGGACGGTATCTTGATCTGTGATACGGTAATGGTCCATATCAGCTTCGCCACTACCAGTTAGGTAGCTGCGACGCTGAACAGCGCCCTTTGGAGGCCCTGTCGTGCCAGATGTGAAGATCACCAATGCTGCACCGTTCATGTCGGGCACGAGGTCAGACGAAATGGTTACTTCATCTGCTGGGAAGAGCGTTGGTTGGAAGTATGATGCGATAGGCGATATACAAGGGATCTGTACACCTTTGGTTTCTGATACAAATTGCACCACTGATTTGGCGGTTTGCTCGCTGGTGGTACTGGCGAGTAGAGCGACACATCGAGCTTTCAGAAGAAAGTAGGATGCTTCTTTGGCTGGCAATACAGCAGCTGCTATTGATTAGCTTTACTCTCTTTCTTCTAAGATGAGACTCACCCATTGGCACTACTGCTGCGCCAATCGCGAGAATGGTCATGAAACCAACAGTGTATTCATAGCCTCCTGGGGCGAGCAACGCAATGTAAATTTCTTTGTCTGCGGCTAAATCACGTCGCACTTCAGTGCTAAGTCTTCCCTCCAATACCTGGCGAAGAGCTAAAACATCGGAAAGAAGATGATGGTATGTCTTTTCAAGACCAGCGTTCAGATCTCGAATCGCAATGGGTGAAGGCTTGCGTTGCGCGTAACGTAGCAACCTATGAAAAAACGGCATATTCGGTAACACATTTTCTCCTAAATGCGGAGGAATGAATTGAGTGCGGTCTCCCATAGTCGTCGAGTAAGGCATTATGATAGGAGACTTGATGTTGAACCTGCGGGACGGGCATTCCATCCATCTTATCCCGGCAGCGTATTCAACTATATGAGTCTTGAGTGCATATCGGACTTAACCCGCTCGATTTCCAGCCAATAATTTATTGAACTGTTAAGTTCATTCGGCTACTTCCTCACGATGTGCATCTACCCCGCGGGGATATGCCGGCACTCGGCACTCGGTGATTTTGGGATGACGGCGGACCTAGGTATATCAACGTGGAAATGATTTATCAAGATGACTGAGGACCATATACACGCTACAGACTGTAGGAATTATAACCACAACTTCCTCCAACCAAGTACTCAAAATGCCCGATTTCACAGACAAACTCCGCCCCAGTCAGCCAGATGGGCCATCAACACTAGCACAAGAGCGAGTACAATCGAACATCTCAACAGAAGAGCTAGGAAAGCACCTGCTATCCTCAGATGGCTTCATAGAAAGACAAGCTCGAATCCTACCAATACTCCAACAAGAACCCATCCTCTCAAAAACCAAACAACAAAACCTATCCCGACCCGAGCGATTCAAACTAGGACTTGCACGCGCAAAGCTCCTCCGCCGCCTAAGCGACGAGCACAAATGGAGCCACGACGACTACAAAATGGCGGAGTACCTAGTCGACGACGTCTCCCCCTACTTCCTTCACATGGAGATGTTCATAACAACAATCCGGGAACAAGCAAGCGAAGAACAGCGCGCATACTGGCTACCGCTAATCGAGTCCTGGAAAATAATTGGTGCATACGCACAGACTGAGCTGGGACATGGTAGTAATGTCCGTGGCTTGGAGCTTGAAGCACGGTGGGATGGCCACACCAAAGAGTTCGTGTTGCATAGCCCGACTCTTACTGCTAGCAAGTGGTGGAATGGGAGCTTGGGTCGGGTGGCTAATCATGCCATTGTAGTGGCACAGTTGTTACTACCTGAGCCTGGCTCTGATCGGTTTGTCTCGCATGGTCCGCATCCGTTTATTGTTCAGGTTAGGGATATGAAGACACATCAGCCACTGGAGGGTATTGTTGTTGGAGATATCGGGCCAAAGTATGGGTACATCAGTATGGACAATGCATATATGCTATTCGATCATTTCCGGTACGTAAATTGTCAATTGTTGATACTCCAAGATCCTCGAGCGCGACTGACAAGAAACTAGAATCCCACATTCAGCCCTCCTATCCCGCTATTCAAGCATGAACCCAGAAACAGGCGTCTACACAAAACCAGACCAACCAGCTTTGGTATATGGCTCCCTAACCTACGTCCGAGCAAACATAGTCCACCATGCCCGCCTCGTCCTCGCGAGAGCGGTAACAATAGCAATCCGCTACACAACAGTCCGCCGACAATTCCAAGACCGAGATGGTGACAAGCGCGGATTGGAGATATCGGTACTAGACTATCCAACCGTCCAAATTCGCATTCTGCCACTCCTAGCAACTACATTTGCACTACATTACACTGGCCTAGCCATGCGGACAGTATACCAGACTGCACGAGAGGATATTGAGAAAGGGGATTTCAATTCGTTAGCTTATATGCATAGCATGTCCTCCGGATTGAAGAGTCTTTGTACCATGCTTGCTGCAGATGGGATTGAGACTTGTCGTCGGGCGATGGGGGGACATGGATATGGCGGTGGGAGTGGGTTGATTCAGCTTAATAATGATTATTTGTCAAAGCCCACTGTTGAGGGGGATAATTGGATGATTACGCAGCAGGTTGCGGGTTATTTGATTAAGAAGATGAGTGCTGCTGTTGAGCATCAGGATAGGGCTGGCGATGAGATGGACGTTCGGTTTAGGGCGTTTATTCGGGAGAAGCGCGCTGGAGGGTTGTTGAGGGGGTACGATGTTTTGAACAATGATCGCGACATTGTGAAAAGCTTTGAGTTGAGGGCTACTGCTTTGGTATGTTAGAGAATTTCCTACAGGGTATAAGTTTATGCTGTGAATCCTCAAAGCTAACGAGTGACAGGCATACGATGCATACGAGCAGCGAGTTATCAAAAAGAAGAACTGGAACAGTCTTCTCATCCAGCTTCACAAATTAAGTCGGGGTATGTGTTCAGATCGCAGATGTTGTATCATGCAAATAAATCTAACTCGAACCCCAGCACAATCGCAATCGATCATGGTCACGACCTTCTTCGAAGCTCTTTCAACTGACAAAGCGCTCTCAGCACCGACAAGAATCACCTTATGGGATCTATATCGCCTATTTGCACTAAACACGATGGAAAACGAAGGCTACGAATGTAAGATCTCCAAAAAACCTCATGAACTATAAAACTGACCCAAGACGCAGTCTTCCGCTGCAACGCCGTCTCTCAGTCAGATCTAGACGCTCTGCCAGCTCGAATCCAATATCTGATGGGCCGGATCAGACCCCATGCGGTGAAACTAGTTGATTCATGGATGATTCCTGACTATTTGCTTGACAGGTATGATAATTCCCATTGAAATACTCGAAGAAAGAGTCAAAATGATTAACATCAACGTTGGATACAGTGCACTCGGTCGGTATGATGGTCGTGTCTATGAGGACCTGTTCAATCGGGCTCATCGGTTAAATCCTCTGAATCGGATTACGTTTAATCCTAATTATTGGGAGGATGAAATTGTGAAGGGGAGTGGTGTTGACGGGTCTGATATTTTGTCGAAGTTGTAGATACTGAAGTCGAATAAAGTTGCGAAGAGTTTGTTCTATTACACTCTTTACCCAGTTTTGCACACAGGAAAGTAGAAATTGAAAATAGATTCTGCGTATGGCCTTAGCGCAACGTAGAAATCAAATGTTTAATTATTATTCCAATGCAGTTATGTGCACGATCCTCCATAACGGAGGGATTAGATAGTACCAAACTGGTACGTAGCCCAGTTGACAACAGGGCCATCATCAGGCCCGGCAACTTGGTAGGGAACACGACCCCACTCAGGGTTGTTAATGCCATCAATCCAGTCCTCGGTCTCGATAACGAAGCAGCCGTACTTGTTAATTGTGGTGGCACCAGCGTCACCGCCGTTTGCCTTGTTGCGCTTAGCCTGGGACTTCTTGGTGGCGATGCTGCCATTCTGGCCGCTGCAGGTGTAGATCTGGACAGCAGCCTGGTTGGTGGCGACATCGAGACTGATACCAGTGCTGTCGGACGAGGCACGGACGGCGGTGATCATGGAGTCGGGGGCGTTCGAAGTGGGACGGTCGACCAAGAAGCAGGTGTCGTAACCGGCGCAGCCGGCGCCGCAGAGACCGGTGGTCTTCTCAATGTCCTTGCCGATCGTTTTGGGGCTGGTAAAGTCCAATGAGCCCGAGTAGGTGTTGTCGACGTCGGAGATGGTGCCGTTGGGGATAAGAATGCTGTCTCCGGCGATATAGCGCTTGGAGAGAGGCAGCTGAAGGGTATCCTTCAGGACGTTGGATTCCTTGAACGCGTTCAAGTTCCAGTAGATGTGGTTGGCTAGCATGATAGGAGTCTTCTCAGTCAGTGCGAGAGACACCAGCTTGGTAGTCAGCTGAGGAAGACCCTTGGGGTTCTCTGGGCTGGTCTCAGTGGAGACGCTGTAAGTGGCATGAGTGATCACATCACCAGGGAAGTTTTCAAAGCCTTGATCGAGCAAGCTGAAGGTGATGGCAGATTCGCTGTGCGCAGTGACTGTCCAGTTGCGCATGTCATAGCCAGTGAAGCCACCGTGAAGGGTGTCGACGCCATCATTCTCATTCTCAGGAACGTGGTAGGTATTGCCGTCGACGGTGAAGGTACCGTTCTTGATGCGGTTGGCATAACGACCGACAACCGCGCCGAAGAAGGTGCGATTGGTCTCACTGTCGTGCAGATACTCGATGGGGTCATCATAGCCCACAACCACGTCCTGGACATTGCCATCACGATCGGGGACTGTCAAGGAGGTGAGAGTCGCGCCGTAAGGAATAAGCTTGGCGGTGATGTTCTCAGCCTTGATGGTGTAGCTCTTGAAGTGATCATTTGAGCTAGCAGCCGACGGCGAGGGAGCCGACGCGCGCGAAGAAGAAGGCGACGGGACGGCCTGTGCAAGGGCAGGCAACCCATACAGGGCGGCGGTCACGTAAGACTTGAAATGCATTCTGAATCCCAGAAATATGATTACTGAGAGAAAGAAAGCATAGACTAAGAGGAGACGAAGCGTGATCCGAGCAGGAAACAGTAAAGATCGGAAGCAACCGAGGGGTGCAGGCATTTTATGGGTAGCTACGTGCCGCAACAAACATTCCCAAGCTACCTCCGCATGGCTTGACGCTAGGGGGCGGGGACAAGCCGGGGTAAGCTTTGCGCGATCAGGATTTATCCGAATGCAGGTGTATAAGGCCAGCTATTGGACTCTCTGATCGAGTGGAGGCTGGTAAAGAGGGGGAAGATCCGAGCCCCGGAGGCTTTGGGGGATGTAACTGGGGGGCGTGGTCCCAGTCAAGCTTATGAGGCGCCACTGACGGCACGGAACAAATGTTACCCTTGTGCTTAGCGCGTGAGATTGAAGGGCAAAACTCCGGTGGAGTAGAAGCAAATTGGTTCTTTGTCTTGAACTTTGGAAAAGTCGGGGGAAACTCAGGGGGACGCGGAGGGGAGTCATGTCCGCCGATCCGGTGACTCAGCACAAACATTCTATTGCTTCATATGTCTCCCTTTCTTCTATGTGTATTGACTTGATATCTGCTTTTCACTCTTCCGCCAGATCTCAACTTCTCCACCGCCTCGAATTACCCCGACCCGCATCGTGGAAAGAAGGTTGTGCGCAGCGTTGGAGTGGCTATAGACACCGCCATTGAAGATGGCAGTGGCATCTTTGCCGACAGCCGACGAGATGAGGGTTTTACCACCAGGGTGCTCTTTGATGAAGTCGGTTACATCGTGAACAACGCCAGCAATAGCCACAAGAGCTTTACCACTTTGCACTTCAGCGATGAAGTCGTCCCAGTCGACGACAGGGAGCTGCTCTAGAGGGACACCCCAGTCAAGCTTGGCTCGTTTCTGATCGACCTTCTTCTGGAGTTGTTGTACACGGCCCTTTTCAATCTCATTTGCTCGGAATTGTTTCAGATTAGTTGCCAGTCCGAGCTGCTTCCACACCCAGATTGACCACTTGGTGGGATCGTACTGCCACCATTCGATGGCATTTCGGTAGTCGGAGGGGAACTACTGGAGTTAGTTGCTTTCAGACAAAGGGGGTACATGAACCCGATCTTACCTCATGGTGGAAGTTATGGTAGCCTTCACCCAGAGTCACCAGCGCGGTAACAACATGGTCGCGAGGAGAGTTTCTATCATCGAAAGGCTAAAGCATGTCAGCGCCATGAGAGACAAATACTTGGATGGAATACTAACCTGTTCACCCAACCAATGAGCAAGAGAATTGACACAGAAAGTAGCCTGCTGGACAAACAAGAACCGAAGGATTCCGGCATAGATCAGACCACCTTTCCAATCACCCCATCCCAGTCCAGCCACAACCATCGGAAACAGCATTCCAAAAACGAGGATCACAGTGCCATAGTTTTTGTGCTGCCAAACGACGATAGGATCCTCGTTCAAGTCCGAAATATCCGTTCGGCCACGGTTCTTGGGATTCTGCTTCAAGACCATCCACATAAAGTGCGAGTACCACACCCCCTTCATAACGCTGTATGGGTCCTTGACTGTATCGGTCCATCGATGGTGTGCCCTGTGCTTAGCGCTCCACCATCGAATGGAGCCCTGTACTGCACCACCGCCGACGCATGCGAGGAAGATTCTGAGTGGAAGGCCGCTGACGAGTTGAACATCGGTTAGCGTTCTGTTGCTTAGGCTCGAATGTGAGTGGAAAAGTGCTCACGCTTCATATGAGCGGTGCGCCCAGAGACGATGATAGCCAGCAGTGATACCCAGGCCAGTCCAGAAGTAATAGAGAATGGCCCAAGCGGCAGTGGCGGCTCGCAACTCGGTGTTAAATGCAGCGATGCAGCCAAAGAAGGGCACGATCAAGATGAGAGAGGTGTTGACCCAGTTGACATGTTTGTGCCAGTTACCGAAGGTAAGAGGCTGCTCGCTGATGTGCAGCTTTCGGCCATCCGGCTCGGTTTCTGTCATTGTAAAAATGTTGAGGTACGTTTTCTGTATGGCAAGTCTGTATGGCAAGTCTGTATGGCAAGTCTGTATGGCAAGTATGAGGCTCAAGAATTGAAGGAGAGAAAAGACCAGTATTGAGGTGAAAGAAGACTAGACTTAAGATTTTGATTGCAAATGTCTCTATTTAATAATTCCACTACATCTTTGAGTAACATGTTCCCAGCAATAAAATGTTGAACTGTTGGGATATCCAGACGTCAGGCAATCGAGGAGGGTTTATCGACGGGATTCGGCCGAACTCCGGCTCCAACGTTTCAACTCTTAAGAACTCACTACTTATCCACATCTGAAGACTCTTGTATTTCCCAGATTATTATATCTTTGAAAGTCGATCATATAGTGTTGCTTAAAATAACTCTATGTTAGACCCGAGACACTAAATTTCAGGATCCTCTCAGATCCCCAGAGTCTATAAATTGTTCCGTTCCGAAGTCCGATGACGACAAGGCAAACCCCAGGATTATTTTGGCCCAACATTTTGATGAACGTATGTTAGATAGACTTTCTTTGGCACACATGTTATTCCTTGGGATATTCCAGATTTTTTCCAAGACTGTTCTTGAACATAAACAATAACAGCGGTCTGCAAGAAAGCCAGCGGAGGGCATAAAATATATAGACCTAAGCGTCCCGATCGTTATAGCCCAAGGCCAAGTTGGATATGCTGCAAGTACAGTGTCTTAGTGAAGTTGAAACAGCGGCATATTGTCATCTACGCATCATAGCTTTCAATAGACTATTTTATCCAGGGTGGGGGCTTCCCTTGTCGAATTTCGTTTGGTACACCCGTAAGGCGATCCTGAAGGACCTGCTTGGTCAGCAGTCTGTATGTCGACATCGGGAGGTGGTAGGTATCTAGCAAGTACACTTGCTATTAAAAATCAAGATTCTTGTAGAATCGAGGTACATCCAAGGCTTATATCTTCCAGATCACAAATCCGGCCGATGATGTGATTGTATCTACAAATGAGGTAAGCCCCGGCTACATCATCTCCGCATTTCTGACAAATGTGAAGTATAAGGTTGCTCACTTACGCATTGCAGTTCGGCATATAAAACATCAGCATATTCTGCATTTTCTGCATTCACCTTGACTCAGTGCCTACAAATTAATATTTTACAGTGCATCCGCATTACTAGCAGCGAATCAAGTTGCATATCTGCGAAATGACGACCACTACAACTGAAAACATAACTGGAACGATCCACGATCGAGCCTATATTCCTCGAGGCTCAGCAACCGCCCGCCTTGTCTTCTACGCGCCACCCCCAGATAACTCCGCTCCATACAACTATGTTGAACCCCAACCACCGGGCAAGCTTCAACGCAACTATCTGCAAAACGAACAAAAAGTAACAATAACCGACATCCGTAACGCCGAAAGCTCCTTTAGCTTGGACAAAGATGCCTTCCAAGCCTTTCAACAAATCCCTACATCAACAACCTACCAGACATTCGACTCAGAGACGTCCATCCGAGAGACCTACTACCCAGAAGTTGAATCCCTCCTCCTATCAAAGATACCAGGAGCCCACAAAATCGTCCTCTTCGACCATACAATCCGTCGCCAGAAGGACGGCGCACCCCGCCAACCCGTTACACGCGTCCACGTCGACCAAACACGCCGAGCAGCCGCAGATCGTGTACGACTCCACGTACCAGATCCCGAAGAAGCAGAAAAGCTACTGAAAGGACGCTATCGCATCGTCAACGTCTGGCGTTCACTCACCGACGAACCGGTCCAATCCGCTCCTTTAGCCTTCGCTTCTGCAACTTCTGTACAGCCTGATGATCTGGTACCCGTCCAGCATCGGTACCCGAACCGGGTTGGGGAGACTCTCGGGGTGAAGTTTAATGAGGGCCAGAGGTGGTATTATTGGTCTGGTATGACACCTGATGAGCGCCTGTTGCTTAAATGCTCTGATTCGGAGGTAGTCTTAGATTCTGGCGCTGGGATTGGGGAGTCTGTCCCCCACACAGCTTTTTGGGATGACAGAACCCCTGTTGGGGCCAGAGGAAGGGAGAGTATTGAGGTCAGAGCTTTGGTCTTTGGGTGATTTTCTTTTATTGGACCGTATCATTAAATTGGAATGTTAATATCATGGAATACCTTGTCATACGCAATAAAATGTTAGTGTTCAACTTCTATCTGGCAAATGGTGTTCCTATCAACTTAGGGCTAATTCTTAGGTGGCTACATCATGATGACAGGAGGCAAGAGCGGAACTCACCACCGGATATTCTTCAACAAACTGATAAACCACCTTTCTTCTAGTTAATCACAGCTTTTGCAAATCAGGTTGAAGATCCATTTCTCAGCTCCAATGCTTCGGCGCACGCTCACAATCCACTCAGCCCACCTTATCATTCCCAAGTCCGCAATGTCAACAATCTCAGACAATCAAAAAACAACAAGCAAAACCCCCGCACCAACCATAAAGAGTAGCGTAGGACCATCTCTACGCACATTCACCGAGGCAGCCTCAACCCCAGAGACACACTCCCGTATCCTTCCGGCAATAAAACACGACCACCAAGAACTCGAATCCCACAGCCACAAAATCCTCAACTCAACAAATCCAGATGAACAAACCCGTTTCCAAAACCAGCTGGTCTGGGAACTAGCTCGACACATGGTTGGCGAAGAACTAGTCGTCTACCCAGCCCTCATCGACTCCCTTAAAGACGGACAGCAAACAGTCGATAGGAATAGATTGGAGCATCAGGGCGTCAAGACGCAGCTCAAAATGTTTCAAGGCCTGTCATCTACCGATCCACAGTTTGTGCCTACACTTAAGGTTCTTCTGGGTGATTTTGAGACTCATGCTAGGGATGAGGAGGATGTGGTTTTACCTATGCTTGAGGATGTTTTATCTAAAGACGAGAGTGTGGCGTTGACGAAGTCTCTGGATCGAACTAAGACCTTCGTTCCTTCCAGGTCACATCCCCTTGTGCCTAATAAGCCACCTTTTGAGACTGCTGCTGAATTGCTCGCTGCACCTATTGATATTTTAACCGATTGGTTTCGGAAGTGGCCTGCCGAGAAAAACAAAGCGTAGATGTCTACGGACGGAGGTTGTTTGGGATTATGGGACTTATAGAATCTACTTGAGTCTAGATTCTAAAAGCAACCTTGTCAAGTGTGCAAGGAATCGTGCTTACTTTCATTTTCCATTACCGCTGTTCCACGGGAACCTCTCAATCTACATGCAAATTAAACCACAGCTAAGAAAACCATACCAAGACAAACCAAGTCCATGCAATAGATCGTCGTTCCAGGCCCAATATTTCAATAGTCATCCCGCAAAGTCGATCATATGCCCTACGCCTTAACCGCCAAAAGCGCCGATCCGGCCGTGCCCAACCGGGGTCCCAAATAGCCATACCGCTGCAAGCGACGTAATTTGCCCGATTGATTCGCATTCTCGATGACGGTCGCCTGTACCTGCTCATCGCCAGACGACGATCGCCGCCGCTTCCAGGCCTTTCGGAATTGCGCTTGCTCTTCGTCTTGTTGTTTGTGTCGCATTGAGAGGAAACCCACATGGGACTCTTTTTCTTCGCTCAGGGCTTCGACCTATTTAGAAAAGGTACATTAGTCTATAGCACGGATAGAAAATCCAAACGTTGCATATCAAGGCACAATAAGTATAGTCTCAAAATGGAAAATATTGCAAAAAGAAAAAGAAAAGAAAATTGACATACACAAGACAACCACAATTCCTGCTCCGAGCTCCAGGCCTTCTGACACCTCGCCAGCTGCCTCTGCGCATGCAAGAGCTCCTTTTCCTGCTCTAATGTCCACCGGCATTGACTGCGGACAATACTGGCCCAACTAACAGCACGAGCAAGCTCAGCCCGCGTAGAACGTGCCTTTATGGAACGTGGGTGACGCGCGGAAGTCGAATCAGACTCGGATTCAGACATATTATCCGGAGTGGCACATATTGATTGGAGAAATTCTGCTGACTCGCGTGCATCGTCTCTCACCGCTAGATGGGCCTGCAGTGGACTCAACGTTGAGACGTCACTATGCAGGTCTGTGGATGCATTGTGTTCGGCGTTTGGGCCGTTCGGTTCGGAAATGGACCCGTCGCTGGTGAGATCAAATCCTGTCTCTGGGGATTTGCCTTTTAGGCTACTTCGACGGCGCCAGGGGAGGGACAGTGGTGGCAGGGCACGTTGGACAATTGTGAACACTGTCATGGCTGGATCTAGGACATTGAATACAATATACAATGATCCGAAGTACTGTATAAGATGCTGGAAGTATAGCAGTGTTCCGGAAGCCCTGGTTGAAAGAGGTAAATCACTCCTCGTTCCATCGTACTTCTCATCCCTGCTTTATAAAGCCGGAGTTCATCCAGGGTGGTACTTCTTGTCCGAGCCAGACCGACGCCCAAGGACGAAAACAATGGTGCAGGGGCACCTCGCACGGAAGTGGGGGATGCGAGGCTCCCCGGCTTCTGCTTGGCTGGCCACGCGACAAGATACGATCTGCAGGTGCTGTGGGTTAGTCTAGATGATGGAGTGTTGCAGGTTTGGTTGGAACTTCAATGTCTACGTATATTGTTTGTGTTTGTGTTAGTTTAAGGGTTGGTGTGACATACTTGTCAGAGACGGAATTGAGACAAGTAGCATACTCGAGCCACTTTAATGGTTGATCTGGACTGTGTCGTAAGGGATTTCAGCTTGCTTCACTGTCAATATCGCCACCCATGAGGTATTCGGGAAAATAAGGAACCTCGACGCAGGACATCGTCATGGTTGGCTGGAAATATCTGTTCAATCCGCGATACCCTGCCTCTTACAGGGTGTTCGCAGTTGAACACAGGGATCCCCCTTCCGAGATTTGATACTTTCTGATATGGAAAACTTGGAATTTATACTAATCTCATGTACAGAAATCACTCATGTGGAACAGACGAGGCTAGAAGCTCAAAGTAGACAGACAAAAGAAGCTCCAAAACTCCTGAAAAAGCACGATCCTGCAACCAATAACCGTGAGGGAATCATAACCAAATCAAGAACCGCCCCGTTCAAAAACAAACCGTTTGACTCCAAGGTAGATGTTAAACATCTAATTGCGGACCAAGAATGAGACAAAAAGATAAAGACAAAAATAACAGTTTCATCGCCATGTATCAACTGAAGTACCCCGGTTGGCCTTGGCCTTCCTTTCCCTCTCGGATCTGCTCGCCAATGATAATGCTAATCAGTCTCCGATGCAGGTCGGCCTCCGTCCAATCGATCTGTCCATTTCCACCGTATTGGATATCCGCCCGAGAAAGTTCCTGGGCGAATCGGTCGATGATAGCAAATTGAATCTCTGTGATGGGAACCCCGTGGTGGCCATCTGAGGTCCATATCCAATCACCGATGATAGCAGCCCGACCTGGAGAGTCGAAGTACTGGAAACGCTCGGGGTAGCGCTTTGCTATTTCGTAAATACGACGAAGAGCGATGTAATGGGCATCCGAGAAGTAGCCGAAGACAGCAAGTGGTCTAGGCCCGGGAGACGCCTCATGCAGATCGTTCGCTGTGTTTGCATCCTCCACAAGCTCTCGAGACACGCTTCTTTCATAGAATGGTTCCTCATCTTCGACCATAGGTTGATCATCCTCTTGCATTTGTGGAGACCGAGTTAGTTGTCGCCAAGGACTCGCAGGCGATTGACTCCCTTGCCTAGAGAGCGGTTCATCATCGAGGTGCTCATCAAGTTCCTTGGCGGATTCAATTTGAGTCACTTCATCGTCGTCTTCAAACTCTGACTCTTCCGGGATAGTAGTAACGCTTGAACTGCGTGCCCTGGTAGGAGCTTTTAGCCATTGTGGGGTAAAACTGGTGATTTTCTTGAACCAGGATGATCCTTGATGTTCTCCATTGGGTTGATGAGTCCGTGGAGTGGATGTCAAAGGCACATCAGCAGACTCAGATCGACCAAGTGCAGCATTCGAAACGCTATCATCATCATCTTCTTCTAATGAGTGTTCCACATGCGGGCTCCGGCGAGAGACCCGAGGAGACTTATCGGCCTGAGGAATGTCTGGAGACTGGGAGAGCGGCTGTAAACGAATATGCGCTGGAGTCCGCGACACAGTTTCCTTCAAAGGAGAGGCATTGATCGGAGACTGTTGTGTCCCTAACCTTCGATTCAGCATGTCCCGAGGGGTGCTCGTTCCGTTGTAGTATTGTGCACGATTCGGAGTATCTTCTTCCGCAAGCAAAGCATCCAGGTCGACCTTTTGCTCTCGGAGCTCGCGAACTTTAGACGGGCCGTAGTACATTGCACTGTCACGTTCCGGATCAGCGTAGCCTGGAGACGAGCTCCAGTGATTTTGACGCGTTGAAGTTACTGCAAGATCTCTCCAAGGGCTGGCCGCCTCTGCGGCCTCCCCTCGAAGGCGCTCATCCTCGGAATGTTCCGAGATATGGTCGTGGTCGTTGGCTTCGAGTTGCCAGATATCATCGTAGCCATTTTCCTCCTCGTCCAAAGGTTCGGGGTTGGCTGCTTGGTGTTCACGAGGCAAGGGCTCAGGCACAAGATTAGGTTCGAAATCCTCAGGCTCTTCTTCAAGCTCGGATTCACCATCCGACGCGGGTTGTTCATCATACGACATTCCGACGCCGGTCTCATACTCGTCAGCCTCAGCGCCACTTTCATCGCTGTCGATGTAAACTGCGGACCTTGTATTTGATGCCATCTGAGCCTGGCGGCTGACTTCCTCCCGTTCAAGCTGCCACTGTGCCTCTCGCCGCGCTCTTTGGACAGACATCGAGCTTTGTTGCATGGAGTTGTTGAGCTTGGGTTGTGGCGATGGTAAGAATACATCCCGTTCTTCCATTTCGTCATCAGAAGGCCCCTCTTGATACACACCCTCCACTTCCTCTTCGCCGGATTCGTAGTGAACAGGCTCTTCTGGCTGCTCCTCATAGTCATTTGCTGCTTCTTCTGCTTGGAGACGCTCTGATTCTGCTTGGCGTTCTGCGCGCGCCTGTCTCTCCTCCTCGGCTAGGCGCTCTGCTTGTGCTCGACGCTCAGCTCGTGCATGACGTTCCTCCTCAGCTTGACGCTCCTCCTCTGCCCGGCGCTCCAGCTTGGCTTGACGTTCTGCCTGTGCTTGTCGCTCTTTCTCTGCCTGGCGTTTTTCTTCGACCTGGCGTTCCAGCTCAGATTGACGTTCTGCCTGTGCCTCATGTTCTATCCGTGATTGGCGTTCCTCCTCGGCGAGGCGCTCTGCCTGTGCCCGGCGTTCCTCCTCTGCCCGGCGGTCCAGCTTGGCTTGGCGTTCTGCCTGTGCTCGACGTTCAGCCCGCGCTTGTCGTTCTGCTCTTGCGTGACGTTCCTCCTCAGCTTGACGTTCCTCCTCTGCCCGGCGCTCCAGCATGGCTTGACGTTCTGCCTGTGCCTCACGTTCTATCCGTGATTGGCGTTCCTCCTCGGCGAGGCGCTCTGCCTGTGCTCGACGTTCAGCCCGTGCTTGTCGCTCTGCTCTTGCTTGGCGTTCCTCCTCTGCCTGGCGCTCTTCTTCTGCACGACGTTCCTCCTCTGCTTGTCGCTTTGCCTGAGCTTGACGCTCCGCCACGATAGCGGCGGCCTCTTCTTCGTTGGCAATCATTCGCCGCATTGCAAGCTGCTGCCCTAAGCCCAAAGCAACCCGTAGTTCGCGGCGAGTGCTAGGACTAAATGAGCTGAAGACACGTTCCAACCGCTGTCTTTTGCGATTGCTATCGTTCTGGCTGGACCATTCATCTTGCTCTGGTCTGAATAGACCTTGCAAAGCAATGCCAGTGCGAACAAGTTTGGCCAGGCTTTTAAATGTTCTCTTCTTAGGAGCGGGAAGTGCTTTTATAGGAGACTGTGCACCATGGAGTTCGGGGTAGGAGACTTCGGTAAGGTAGTTGACAGAAGGTCGCTCGACAGATCGCAATAATGCATGCGGCCGAATACGAGGGGCTGACCCGTCGAAATTCATAGCAGAAAGATTTGTACTCGGGCTTAAAGATTTCTGAGCACGAGAATCACGTCGGAAGTCTTCGATTGTTCCGGCAAGTTTGCGTTTCAATCGATCTCCGACTTCTTTCGGTTTCGGTCCTCTTTCCCCAGTCTGGGGGCCGGAGCTAAGTCCATACTGTTTGGCAGATGGAAGAGTATCAAGGGAAACCATGGTAAAGCCTTCGCTTTCCATAATGGAATCATACTCTTCGTGGTCATCTGTTGGATCTTCAAGTGGATCAGTCTCGGTGTGCCTATTTGTCTCCGAGGGCTGATCGGCATCAGCTTGCTGTGCTTGGTTCTCTTCTTCGGCCAGCGATGAGGTGGGAGTCGGAGTTGGGTATGTACGTGACTGCGGACTGTGCGTGCTGTGAGAAGCTCGAGATGATGCGATCGCTCTCTCACGGGTGGGCGACGGCATCTTAGAAGGGGTTGAATGTATGTTATCATCATTGTCCAAGAAGTGATGTTCCGTAGCCCCAATCACCGGTGTCTCCAGGCTTGTGCGCCCATACTCGCGACGAGCGTTGTTAAATTCTTCAGTAATCGTCTGAGTGGGATCTCGAAGATCAGCAATGGACATGTCGGAGTTACCCCAGGAATCCTCTTCAGAATCGGGCTCGGCAGCTAGGTTTATTGGACTGGGTGGGCGGTCAACGTCCACATCTTCACGAATGAAATCATCCTCCGGGCTAAATTGCTGTAGAACCTGGCCAGGATCACTGGCAAGAGTATCCATCGGGCTGCCTTGTTGACGCCAATGAGCATCGCTAGTGATGGTGTCCATGGGACTTGATCGCTGATTGGCGTCACTGGCAATAGTATCCATTGGACTGAACTGTTCGCCTAATCCAGCATCACTGTTTGGTACGACATTCATCGGACTAAATGGTTGGTCATATTCCACAGTCGGTGTCGGCTGATCCTCCGCCATCTGGAAAACCTGCGTCTTCGGTTTGGGCGTACCCTTGCGTGGTCGGCCTCGTTTTCGCGGTTGAGATTCTTCCCATCGCGGCCCAGGGGTATGTCCAGGGCTCCCGGGGAACGAAGACTCTGTCGGTGTCTGGGCCTCTGATTTCCGTGGACGGCCTCGTCGCTTTGCGGGCGTTTTCTCCTTCAGTGGACTCCGTTCATCCTTCAAAGGGATCATAGTCGTGGTCGTTGAGGGTTTTAATCGTTTGCGCGACGGGCTGCCTTGATTCTCGTCTTCTTCGTCTTGGGTCGCCTCGAGCGTGAGCCGTATGCGCCACGGGCTCACATTTCCATCCGCTTGCTTCTCCGGAGAGATCGACCTCTGGCGACCATTGAAATTCATTGACGGTGATCCGGGGAGTATGACATCGTTGAACTGGATCGAATGCGCGCCTTTCGCGGGACTGAGGCTAACGCGCGACCGCTTCGCCGGGGTTCGTTGCGTAGGAGCTCGTTTCGCGGGAGTCCGGTGGCGCCTCACTGGAGCTGGTGACACCCAGCTTTGACGTCCAACAAATGGTTTCATTGGCGAAGAAATGAGGTACTCTGCGTCGCCTGGTGGGCCCAGGATATCGGGGGAGGAGGATTGACTGCGCGACGAGGTGGAGTTGGACATGGCGGACTCATGCGATGGAATTTCGGGAGGCACGCGTGCCGCCAAGGGGTATGAGAGCACACCTACGGAATGCGTTCAAATGTACAGCGATCAATCCAAGGGTAATAATTATTAACAAAAGATCGCTTGAAGAGCAAGAAACAAGAGAAAAACGCGGGGCAGACATAAACAAGTCTCCCGATGCGGTTCAAAACGTCGTCCTCGAGGTGGTTAGGTAAGCGCCTCGTGCCCAAACAAAACTCCCGTTTCTCTTTGTTGTGAAGCATCAGATAGTTCTATCTCTGCTAAAAGTTGCCTCAGGGCCTATTATGCTTTCCTAGTATTTGGATCTGGATGCTAACAACTAAAGTGACATCCTATTATCGCACAATAACATCATTCTCTCTCTATTCGTTATCTGCATGTGGGCATACATCGTTGTGATCTGCGCCCGGTCGAAAACTCCACGCGATGGAATTTGTGCCTCTGTTAGTAGATTTTAGTGGCCTACCCTGTCGTAGCATACTCTATCAATAAGGGTCTGCTGCGCCCCCTTCTTTGGCAAGGAGCAGCTAGAATCGATCGGGGGCTCTGAATTTAAACTGCCCTCCTTTGCACGGCAGACTCCAAGGCCTATGTAGTTCTTGGAAAAAGCGTTATTCTAGGCAGGAACCTGAGATCTTAATCGATGATGGACATGAATGGAGCAAGCTCCGAGTCCGAGGAAAGAAAGTTCGAAGTGTCTACACGAGCTCTGAATTAATACTCAATGGTATCAAGAAATACTTCCAAGACGAACCTGGAGAAGAAAACGCCCTATTTTAAAGCCCTTCGTGACTGGGCAGATTGAACAGGAGCTACGAATTAACGTACCCTCGCTGCTGGAGTTCAGAAAATGTCTGTTTCAGCTTCGTAGATAATCTCCATGCCATCCAACCTGCGTGTCGAACGTGTAACGTGCTGCCAAACACTCAGTATGCTACAATGTACTTATAGAACAATTAAATCAACTGGAAGACATGATAGTCCATAAAACTTTTCTATGATATGTGCGCTACAATACGACTCAAATATAAACTGATGGCCCCTCATTTTCAGTTTAAGCGAACGGGCATTCAATCGCGCAACAGAGACTGAAAGGACTTCAACCCTGGCTCATATAAGATATGCAACAATAGCAATTATACAGTAGATTTCGAAAACGGCTTCCATTCAGACATTTGCAATTTTGTTTCTCGGCCCGTACCCGAGGCCACACTAGCTCACATTTTGACTTGGCATCAATGATGTTTGGCTCAAAAACAAGGTTAGTTTACCACTAACCTTAACACGGACTAGTGGTGTTTGGGTATGGACGGAGAAACAAACCGCAAGTGTTTTTGAGGAAAATGGTTTTCGAAATCTAACTATACAATAACATGCATTTCGTTCAGAACTGGCTGAAGGCTATCTTGAGAAACCCTCACGGTATGGCAAAGATTTAAATCATCGCCGCCTTCTTGAGCTTTCCAGTGCAACCTCGCGCGCCTTCCATGTACTCAACATGGTAGCAGTCGGTCCGATGAATAGAACTGCCACACAACAATAAACAATATCAGAAGAGAAAGAAGTCTGGGTAATGTGTGTGCGGTGTAAGTCCCAGGTTGTGAAGAAACACCAGACTATGATGGCAATGGAAAGTACCATGAACTGCACGAGGTCGCGTGAAAAAACGAAATTTGCGGCTAAGCCCTTTGTCCAAAATTGGAGCACCATTTGGCTCACGTTAAGAAGATGAATTGTTGCGCAGGCGAGGGTAAGTATGTTGTAAGTTCGGAGAAGATAAGGTATATCTCGTTTACCATATATGGAATCCGGGACGTTGGATTTGGGCGGGTCTTGGTTTGATAGCTTCTTTCCCAGGTATACCAGGATAGGAAGGGCGAAATGGCTCGCAGGGAGCAACCGGCGAGTAAAAGCCAAGTTTTCGGCAGATGTAACCAGAGCCGATAGCATTGATGGAATGTAGGCGATCAAGAGGCTTGTGGGAAGGACTTCAGCTGCTCTGATGTCAATGGCTCTGGGGTTAGGATAATAAAATGACTGAGAGCGGCTTTCGTAGATGTACAAGATGAAGTAGGTTGGCAGAACAATGTCCCATCCTACAACGGTGGAGGCGAGAGTATAGAGGAGCGCACTGTTCTTGTTAGCACATGATACGGCTTGCAGTTCTTGCAGGTGCATGTCCTCACCTATACATGGGCCCGAAGAAGGAGCCAGGCCGGTATGACTCCACCGTCCACAACGCATTCACAGCGACCGTAGATATAAAATTGTAAATCTGGAGTCTGTCGCCGATGGCTCCCAATTCATCCCCGGGGCTTGTGTATGCAGCTATGAGTACCCGTAGAGATAGAATAAAAGCCATGATAGTACCCCAAAGGACAGTTGCATGCAGTGATCGCTGGCTCGGCTTTGCGCTTATATCCTTGTCGCGGGCAACAATACCTCCAAGGGATGGCCCAGGAAGATACTTTAAGACATGACCAGGCGAGTATATCTCAGCGAATTTTGGAGCCAGCTTATCGATGGACATTTTACCTATGACCTTGAGAGCCATGAATTCTAGTAAAGGATTTTCCAGGGCTTCAAGCGCTTGTAATGAACTCGCTCCTTGTCGCAGCAAATTGGTTCTGGGTCGACGTTGTTGCTGGAATTTGGCGAGGCCTGCTAGGATTGCGGAGTTGTTTGGACGAATGTCGTTCTGTACCGCCTCTTTCAATATATCTCCCAGCAAAGCTGCATCCTCGATCGCGGAATTCCCACCTTGCCCCGTGAGAGGGTTGAACTGTGATGGAGTTTAGTTTGGGAGATTACATTCATTAAGAGATAAAGGGCATACTTTGTGAAAGGCATCACCGATCAAAACTGCTCTCTTGTAAAAGCATTTCTCCAACACGTATTCTTGCAGTGGAACAAGAACTGCTTGCCGACGCCGTTTATATATATCGCCGAACGTGACTCCTGGACGCAAAATATCCGCCCCATAGTCATCCACCACAGCTTGTTCATCCTCTGCGGTATATCGGGGGATGGACTGGTTGACAGTTTTGTGTTTGTTCTTTATGAATGCAAAAAAGTAAAATTTGCCTTCGCGGCCTGACTGGCACAAGTACGAGCGGTTCTTGTGGTAGGATTTGAACCCTGTCTCTTTGGGAATGCCTTCCGGGCAATCGGCGATGCCGAACATACATCGGTACGCACAAGTAATTGCTAAAATGCGTAAGTTCATGTAAAGAGTGGGTTTCAAGACAAAGTGAGAACATACAGTTAGCCAATCGTTTGGTTCCATAATCAGGACCCTCTGCCTCAGCAATTGACCACATCTCGGCTCTAGTCCGGCTGTGAACGCCATCGGCGCCAACAAGAAGGTCTCCCGTAAAGGTTGCACCACCTTTGGTAATGATTTGCACTTTGTCGTCGAGCTCTTCAATTTTGAAAATTTCCTTTGACACTAGGACTTTCGATTTATCTTGGAGATTGCCATAAAGTGCTTGGATAAGTTCACGGCGATCCAGGAAACTGAATTTGTATCCCGTCCTTCGTTTGGGTTAGCGGCACATATTACCCGATGTATTAGAAGTGGTAACTTACAGGTCAGCTAATAGCTGACCGAATGTATCCTCAGTACCGAGACACTCTCCAGCTGGGCCAAATGTTTGCATTCTCTCAACTCGTTCGCACAAGGACGAGATCTGTCCCTCGAGGCCAAGTTGGTCTAGGACTTGAGAGCCATAAGGTAAAATCCCAATGCTAGCTCCGAGCTGGGGGGCAATCTCCTTGTATTTCTCGAGGAGTATGTATTCAATGTCATATCTCTCGAGAATATTGGCTAGGGTCAACCCCGCTACACTGCCGCCGATGATGATAACCGTGAAAGATGCCATGATGAATGACTTGATGTGATGAGTTGAGGGAAGGCTGTATGTTATATAGCTCCCCCTGGCCCGGTCACCGGATTTATATATTGCGAGAAAAGCGCATTTTCAGGATTCGTGACCCATTGTAAACCAGCTAGCGTTGGTCGCCAAGCACTGAGCGCCCTACTTGTCCAATAAATCATCTCCCTCAGACCGCGAAGAACATTCTATAACTTCCTGTGACCCCATTGAACTGGTATTGCAACCCAACATGGATACCATTTGCGACGATCCGCCAAACTATTTAAAAAACTAAGTGATGCCACAGGATGAACCAAATGGCGGGATGGTATAATTGCCAATCCCGCTTACAAAGCGGAGTTAGTGGCACGGTCCGTTGTTCCGCTGTTATTAACCTCGATGTGGCTGTGCGGCTCCGCAAGGATCAAGTACCTGGACCCACAGCTCGGACTTGCTGGATTGTCTTAAGTTGTCTTTGAAGCGGGTCATAAGTCACCGGATGAGGGGACGATACGGTGCTGGGAGCAGTCTAATGCCGATGTTATCTCGTGGTTTTCGCCGAATAGCTGCCTGGAATGATGACATGCTGATCCCCCAAAACTGTTTCAAGTATTTACTCCAATCGTAACGTTAAATAGTGATTAGATTTTGAAGACCATCTGCGTCGTATTTGGACTGATAAAAGCTATCCAAACAACTATTTAACTTGACAGTGATTAATTAACTGAAGATCACGGAACAAATGGTTTTCTTCTGAAATACGCTAGACTGAGAAAGTTAAGAGAGAGAAACTTGAAGGTAAAGCGGACATCTGGACGGTGAAATTGTTGCATGACTCGATACTCTGGATGGGAATGGACCAAGAGGGTTCTGAGGTAATGGCTTTGAACCCGAAGTCCCCAGTCAAGGTACACCGTTGAATGCTATAACTTAAAGAGGCCATGACACATGCATGACTAGGTAGGGTATCCCTTGTAGTAGACTAGTTGAACAGAAAGAGAAGCACCTTAGCAACGTTCCGTGTGATAAAATTATTATACAGTGTGATACAAATGAAAAAGGGCCAGCAGAGCTCTCCTCATCCTTGTCCTATTCCTTCTTAGTGAATATGGTAACGAGGTTTCTAACATGATCAACCGAGTCTAGGTCCAGTTCTATGGTCGGGTCGACGATCCTTGCTCCGATGAACCTGTCATGTGCTTCGAGGAGCATATTCCGTTGAGGTGAAAAGCTCTGCCATCTGAATAGAGGAACGGATATGTCGGCGCGTTCATTAATGAAGTTAACAATCTCATCTGGGGTGTCAAGTAGGCGACCAAGTTTGTCAACACATGTGGCGTCTGGGATATTGTAGTGAACCAGAAACGCTTCTTCCCAGCGTGCGGCAACGTTGAGGCTTTTCTCCTCGCTGATCCTGATGATATCTTGGCGGATTCGCCCGCCATGTACTAGTGCATTGCGCTCGTTTCGATTGTCATTGGTGAGCGCCGCGCAGTCGCTCAACACTGCCCCTCGGATGATCCTCAGCAAACACACTTGAGTCGACTTCTGCGTTCTGCATTTCAAACTTCATGTCTTGAGATCCAAGCTTGGCGTTTTGGGCTGCAAGCATGGCGTCTTGAGAATGGTGAAGCCACAAAACTTTTCGGATCGGCCAAGCCAATGATGGATAAGCGATACATGCCCCTTTATATAATCTAGGTGATTAACCCGAGGCACTCGAAAATAGGCAAAGAAAAGGTGAAAGAAGAGGTGAAGGAAGAGGTGAAAACAGAGAGGTCTAGTCAGGCGAAAACAATGCATGAAACGGCATGCTCGCTTCGAGGGTCTCATATAGAGACCGAACAATACTTTATGGCACTATATACATATTTATGATCCTGTTAAAGGAGGCTAGTGCCGTTGAGAAGCTTGCTCTATGACTCGTATCCTCGGACTTGAATCTACGTCTAATGGTTCTAGCAGGTTGCCATGTTAATTGCTGATAGAGCATAAACAAATAAAGAATATATTTCAAACGCATTCACTTCAAAGTAACACAAGGCGCTAATATGTTCAAATCGATGGCAATGATAGCCATGAAAAAAGTACGCCGTGGGTAGAACCGAAACCCATGACTCCTGTAAAAACACCAAACCAGCCCATCCATCCTAACCAGCCCATCCCATATTATCTCATCTTATCTAACACACACCTTATCGAACTTTCAATGCAATCTCTAGTGGTTCCGAGTGCGCTTGCGACTACGCTCACGCTCCATAGCGGTTGGCGGGAACATCTCGGGGGCAGGGTTGTGAGCCGCGGGAGTCCAATCAACAGCCATGGCAGGTGAGAAGTCAGGGTGAAGTTGTGAGAAGGTATTGGGGTCGGGGACATGGCCGTCGATGAGATCAGAGGAAGGCAGAGGGGCTGCGACAAGCTCGACGAGGGAGTGGTCGATCCAGGAAAGGGGCTTGTTGCTGAGGCGGCTCATCCGAGCGCAGTCGTCGTCGACTTCTTCGTTCATGAGGGAGGTTAGGGGTGGGGCGTTGCCGTTTGGTCGGGCGTGGTAGTTGGAGAGGACGTGGTAGGGGAGGTTGGGGCGGGTTGCAGGCTTATCGGCTAGATCGGCCAGGGCACTTAGAGCGCTGTGAGCGGCAGTTGTGCGGGTCGAACGGGTGGCGTGGTAGTTGTGGCTTGCGGTACGCATCATGTCTGCTGCACTTGGGGTGCCGTTGTCTTCATTGCCGGTGCCTTCGGGGGTGTCCTCGGCGTCGGTGTTGTTGCCGTTGGTCACAGCGCCAGACCCGTGGTCGGGACGCTTTGAGGTTGAGAAAAAGTGAACTGCAGCAACGTGGGCCTGGTTTGCATGCGCGCTAAGTTCCTTGTCGGTGAACAGGGAGTGAATTGAGTATGTTGGTGCCAACTGTTCCTTTGTAATCTCGGCCTTTGCGCGCTTCGCGGGAGTAGCATCGCCCGTATCCCGTGCGGGAGATCCAGCTTCCTCCTCGGGTGCCTTGCGCTTGCGCTTGTTCAACTCCGAGATAACACCGTTGCCCAATTCGTCGAGGTCAACGCGGTGACGAGTGTGACGAGTCTTGCGGTTGCTGTGGATGCCACCGGGGCTAGCGGGGTTGGTAATGCTAAACTGATTGGGGTGAAGCAGCAAAGCATTGGTATCCGCGATATCGAGCTGCTCCTTCTCGCGCATGAGACGGGCACGCTTGCCAGAGATGTTCTGAACCAATCGCTCCCGGAGCGTAGTAGAAAGCTGATTGAACTCCTCCTTTGCAAAGTAAACCCGGAAATCGTGTTCGCGCTGCTGTCGCTCAAGCATATCGTTGTAACCGTTCTGCAGAATAGGAAAAAGTCCGATTAGCAAAAAGTCACCAAGATAACCAACAATTAACTCACCATAGTAGCGGTCAAATTCGCATCTCTCGTCTCCTTAACCTGATTAACCTGCTGGACAAAGCGGGAGTACCAAGATCCAGCAAGTCCAGCCATCTCCTTAGCAAACTTGCTGCCACCACCGACAGTTTCCTCGATAAGCGCCGCAATGGAATCAGCGGTGTCAAGCAGAGGACCAGGACCATAGGGGTCGGCGTTATTGATAAGAGTCATATCGCACTGCAAAGCGTGCAACTGCTGGCGGAACTGGATGTCGCGGTTATGGCTAAACTGCGCGGTGAGTTCCTGGAGGCGCTCCTGGAGCGCAGTGCGACGTTTGTCGCGTTTCGAGGGGGCGCCGCTGGCCCCGCCACCCGGGCTGGTGGGTGCCGCGTTTGGATAGGACATTGTATCTGGTGAGAGTGGTCAAGGGTATGTGTTAGATTGCATCAGTGTTGGTGAGAGATGCTTGAGGGGTGGGTCGTCGGAGAAGTATGACCGGGAAAAGGTTTCGCCGGTCCGAAGTAGATGAGATCGGTCAGGTGGGAGAGACTACAATAGGGGGATTTTTATTGAAAAGAGCTGAGTAATATGAATAGAATCTTATTCTATTGAAGATATGCAAGTAAGACATACTCATAATTCTATTGTTTTGACAATCAAACACATGACCACTAATGGTGGTGACATGAATATATTCTCCGGAATAGGCAAGGTGGATTGTTCACCCAGCGTTGATTTCTGGCAGCAATGAACAACTAGCATGTACAATTACACCAATAAATATACTGTTGGTAAGACTGTCAAGGCATTGAAAATTGATGCACGTATATAGGTATTGAACCGGGAAGGGCATGCCCAGGTGAAAGCCTACACTGACCCAACCTTCCCCCCCCGGGGGAAAAAATCAAGCAGTTTACTGTCCCCACAATCATTAGGATTGCATTCTGCTGATAAATTACCCAGCTAGCAAGTATACTCCTCCAATTGGCAATCTACGAGCTAAGCCGATCACCACACGCCCTAGCTAAACACCCTCCTAGGAAGTGACATCTCACTAACCACAACAAAAGAAATACTCCTCAAACACGGAGCAAGCCTCCTCCCACAAATTTCCTACACTGCCGTCATCATCAAAGAAACTCTCCATCTCTACCCGCCCTCGGGAACAGCGCGGTATATTCCCCCGGGAGTGGATTTACCATCCCAACACCTAACGGGGGTAGGGATGTGCTCCTCGATAGCGTCGTAGTGTATAACTCTGAGAGTATAACCCAGCGGGATGAGGGTGTATACGGTATTTTGAGGGATGAGTTTAAGAACCGTTCTGGAGTGGTCATACAATTTATCACACCCGGAAAAGGAACCAGAAACGGATACCAACACTTCAATTCCAGCGAGCGCATTCCACCCCTTCGAGCGCGGTTCACGGAATTGCACCGGACAGGTACTAGCCAATATCGAAGCTCGGATTGTTCTTGCTGTGTTGTGCGGCGGTATACATGGGAGAAGGTTAGATTGGGTGCGACTATACTTGATAGGGATCAATGTCCGGTTTTGGGTGTTGATGGGCGGTATGTTGTTACGGAGGGGGTTTATAATGTGAGCTTTTCTTCCTTTCTCTTTCTATATGTTAGTTTATTAGGTTGTGGAGTTTGGTTAATATGAATGGTTTGAGTAGTATTGCAAGATACGGCTAAACCGATTGATGGCATAAGGATGCGGGTTCGGAGGGCTCAGTAGGGAGTATTGGCTTTGATGACGGGAAGAGATGAATCAGTTGTATAGTATGGCTATTTCAAAATGCTTTTTATTTCCATTTTCCCCTGTTTTATTCAGCTCTTTATGTAAATTGTGTTGTCTGAAACCTTGGAAGGGGAGTTAGAATAGAATAGAATGGAATTGGATTACCCTTCCTTACTCTATGCTCAAGCCCTATGTACAGTAACGTTATATTCGATAACGTTATATCATAGGCAAAGCTATTGTACAAGGATAACACAACATCATCTTACCTCACGCATATCAACGAGCTATTCTACATGAGCACACATAAACCAGTCCAAAGACAAACAAACCCAATAACCGGTGAAGCCCAACGCAACCCAACAACGAAACCCCGAAACAGCAGCACAGTCCACCAGATAAGCAGAGCGTATAACCCCCTAATCAAACCAGCGAACCCCTTTTATTTCCTATTAATTCCTAAATTCCATTTGACTCTACGCATGTACAGAGAAGTGTGCTATATAAGCTGATTTATTGCCACTAAATCGTGTCTATTTATATCTCCATCATCAAGACAGAAAAAAAAAAAAAAAAAAAGAAGTCATAAAACCCGAATCGCCAAACACAACCGGGGTATTCATAGTTCGTTCCGAAGAGGAGGCTCAATAAAGGGGCCTGGGGTCATGCAGTGGGATCTTTCCAAGATATCCACCTGAGAGAGAAAAATTCAAAGCCCAAACCAACACCGGGGACGCCTTTGTCCCATGTCTTTTGAGCTGAAGCTGATGTGTTAAAATATGCTATGGTGGAATGAGGTGGTGGAGAATGGAAGTGGAAGGAGGTATGTGGTGTCGAGAAGAGGGGGGGAGGGGCGCGGAGAGCAGGGCTGTCTAGCTCGTGCGGCGGATCACGAAGACGCCGAGCTCGACTCCATCGCGAGGCTCGTTGTCTTCGCAATAGCGCCGTTTGCGGATGCCATCGAAGATCTCGCTGAGCAGCATGGCGGATGTGACTTCTTTGCCTGACATGCCGCCGGAGCTCATGGATTTGTGCGGGTGGCGTCGGCCGTTCTGCCAGTACAAGTTCAGGACCTCCTTCATGCGGGCCTTTTCCTGGTGGATGAACCACTCGGACCAGAGATTGCGGTCGAGGTGGGTGCTTCCGCGACCTGCATCTGCGACGTGGAATTTGGAAGAGGGCGAGCTCAAGGACTCGCAGAGAGCCACGATGTTTGCTTTCATGGTGGCAAAGTCGTCCATCTGGGAGACGGTGTTGAGCTTGCCGAGGTAGCGACCCACATCCGCTGACAGCTCGTTCACCACCACGAGCTGACGGAGCAGGGGATCGAGGATGGGTCCCAGGTATTGGGACTTGAAGGTCGACGCACCCTTCTTGGTTGGGTACACGAAGAGGAGGGAGCCACCGTTTGGTGAAAGCTCACTCATTCGGTCGACAAGGAAGGATGGACGGGTGGGGCAGAATAAATCACGGTACTCTTGCGCAGAGGGAGGAGGG